GCGTGTATTAGGAGTATACTAGCATCTCTATGGAACTTTGAGTTTGTACGAGGGACGTCGGAGATATATGTTCAATTTTGACATGATCAGTTAACACTTGATAGTGCAAGATTGCCAAAACGAATGAGTGTGTAGGTCCTGATCTGCAAATATCCCGACACAAATCTGTAAGCTCCAGTGCCTCCAATTACTGCAATCTTCATCAAAGATTAAAGAGATCTGCAAAAGTTACAACGGACAAGGATGGCTCAAGGATAGCTAAATATGATTAAGAGATATGCCTTAAGCCCTATTGCCACCTAGGATCATGTCATAAAGAGCGTATATCCTGGTATTCTCATCGCCTTGAACACAACCACAAATGTCAAGAACAAACCGGTTGTGATGTTGGTGTTGGTGGAATCGTCGTTGATGTACGTCCCTTTGGCTCTTCCCACAATCTGGGAGGCACGTGAAGGAGAACATCGCCGATGACAAACACCACTCCAAAATTCTGGGGGGGTGCGACCAAAACCACCATGGAATTTCATTTGAGTTGCATGAGAAAAACAAACTGAGAGGCCGTAGGATTTCTGGTGTTGTCTAATCAATAACATTATCACCAACTACAGCATAACAAAGCATCTATAGTTTAGATTTCTAAAATTTGAAAAAAATAAATATGTGATCATCCAGGCTAATTGTATATCAATGATTGATGGTTCTTCTTAAACTTTTGTACCCTGATGAAAAGCGAGGAAGGTAAAAGGACCTTCCTGTGACTTACTCAAGCCGAAAGCCAGATGAATGACGAGCTTTCACTCTTTATTCTATTTGTTTTTCACTTGGTTGTCTCTTGCAGTGCCTGCAATCAAAGAGTAGCATCTAGACAAATTGACTTCAAAGAAACGTACTTCATCAAATTCCCTGTCTCTCAAGGGTGGAAGAATTCACCAGGATACAGAAAGACTCATACCTGGTCGGCGTTTTTACGAAGCGTGCCCCGGAGCAGATGGCTCCACCTCCAAATCACTCTTGACCCGCTTGGGATCATTGGCTGTCAACTTCCGGACGAGGTTCTCGTCGCTCGTGATCTCGGGGCTGTTCTCCACATCGCGCTTCCTGATCGATTCAGCTTCATCAGTCCATATTGTCAGCTCAAGTGCAGAGACTACTAACCTGTGGGAAAAAGGCCGGATGCGGGGCTCCATCATGATGAACTTCTGCATTTGTTTCTCCATCTCAGCCCGCTTCTTTGCCAAAGCGGCGACATCTCCAGGATCGAACACGGTGCCAGAACGATGCGCCACCTCTCGTCCTTGTTCCCGTCCATGAAACTGCTCTGAAACCCCGTAGCGTCGAGATGATAGGCACACTGGGATCTCGTTTGGAGCCATTTTCTCGCCTGCTGGATGATGAGAGTAGCCACCAGTCGAGAAGAGTGGATCATCCTCCGGAGTGGCTGAGAACAGCCTTGGCTGCTCGTCAACTTCATGCGCAGGAAAGACGACGAGAGGATCCTCCATCGTGACGTTTTCCCGGCTTCCTTGCTGGCCATGCACTGGATCAGCAGCACGAAAGAGTGGATCGTTTCCGGATGCAGACTTGTGGCGAGCACCAGAGGGAAGAGCAGACGGTGGCAGCCGCCTTGGTGGCTTCAGGAGCTCGCAAATTAGGGGGTCAGCAGCCGCCTTCTTCCTGCCGGCATTCAACTGCGATGATGGTCGAGGCAATACTTTGGTCGGAGGAATATTAATGAGGTGCTCCTGCTGGCTGCTGCTGCTGCCGCTGTTGCCACCACCAGGCTCATGGCCATACTCCACCAAGATGTCGTCGTGCACCTTCTCCTCTTCAAGAGTATCCAGACTCCAGTGACGATGGCTACCAGCGTGAGCAGGAGCATGACGATGGCTGCCGCGAGCACACCAGGTGATGCCACGAATGCTGCTGCTGCTGAAGATGGTGCTGACGACGCAGTAGGCGGAGAGGTGCCCAAGCCAAGGGGCCTTGTTATGGTCGAAGGTGGTGGCGATGGCGGCCCGGCCCTCCTTGGTGGCCAGGCTACAGTCTCGGCGAAGAAGAAGGTGGTGGCCCTGTAGCAGCTCCATCACCGGCTCGTTGATGTCCATGGTGTCTCTTTGTGGGCGGAGGGCTCGGTGGTGGATGTCCGGTTCCATGATGCTCAGGAGAACTCGCTGGTGGCTTTGCCGGTGAGTGATGTCCCTCTGTGGGCTTTGGTGGTGAATGACTGTGCCTCTTGACTGGCGCCGGCGGAGACCTCTTTGGTGGCGGAGATGAAGTTGTCGGCGCCCTCTTTGGCGATGGTTTGGGCGGCGCGTGCTCCCGGTGAGGCGGCGGCGATGGCGTGGAGATTTTTGCGAGCCATAGTCAGAGAAGACGCTCAAGCTTACCAGAGAAAGTCGCAGACTAGTATTTCAGCTCAAACAGAGAATTGCTTGCTTCTTTTTTAGGGCATTTACTTACGATGTGTACGGTAAACGAATGGTAGAGATTGAAAAAGTTCCTATATGTCGCCATAGACGCGGAGGATGCGGTGTGGAGGCCGGCGACGAGCGCGCGGTACTCGGCCTCGATGATGGCCGGCCGAGGTAAATGCCGCCGCAGGCGACCTCGGCATCGTGGTAATCGAGGAGGAGGAAGCCGCCGGCGCATGTTGCACAAGCTTATATAATAACTTGAATAGATTACGCTTCTGATGAAAAGGACCATTTTCTCCACAAAACAAAATGTTCTGTGGGTTTCCGTAACTATCACCAAAGCCCGTCCGGCCAGAGCTGCGGTGAGCCTGTAATCCTCATCCTGTAAACGCGCGCTGCTGGCCCCCCTTTAGAGCTCGCGGAGTATTATTCAATCTCTCTCTCCTCGACGCCCTCGCGAGGTCCTTCGCCTCGTGTTTCTGCGCGTCAGCTCTGCTGCTCAACATGATAATCGCGCGCGGCAGCGGGATCGAATCGATGAAGTCGCAGATTTCTAATGCCCCGGGGAGTGATGCTTTGCCAGAGCTCTGGAGCGCCTTCGACTAGCATGAATAGCTGCCGAGAGTGGGACTTTGCCCGATGCGACATCCGCTTCAAACAGCTCCAACTTATCCACGGAAAGGCTCGTCTCGTTCACGAAGATCCTCCGTCTCACCAAAACAGTGGTGCTCTCCTCAAATTAGGGCAGCCGGCAGTGGACAACAACCATTCTTATCAGGAGTTACTAAGTAACTTTGTTCAAAATCCCAAGCCAAAACTATGACTCCCTTGTCATCTTTTTGTGCAAAAGCAGTCCCAAATCATCCCTCGTCATTTAGCTTTAGCTTGTCTTCATGTGGTTCACTTCGTCCAATTGTACATCATATCCAAAGATTATCTCAAACAATCCGTTTGTAAATAAAAATGGAGGCTTTCCTTTCTTCTACTTTCTGTCTGTCACTTAGTGTTCTTGATGAAAGCTTTATTCCTCTCCTGGATTCGAGTGATGTTTTGGTGTGTGCTCTTGTTTTGCAACTTGTACCATTGAGGTGATTAAGAAAGATGACAGCAACAACTTTGCATAAAACGCACCATTTTTATCATTGACAGTCTCAGGGCACCAAACACGTGAATAGACTCCAAAATTTTCTTCGTTCACTCTTAGTCTATTTATATATCACTTTTCATGATTCGAGATTCGTTCCCGTGGTTCTTCGAAGCCCTTTGGCAATTCTTCAGCGGAAGCAGCGGCTGCCATTCCAGCGCCACCCTCGATGGCAGCTGTTGTCATACCCGTACCAATTGCATTGCGCGCAGCGAAATCCATCCCACTACCATCCTCCGCAGCAGCGATGCGCCATCGCCATGGTGATCCCCCCAACCTTCACTCCCACCGCTGGGTGTGCCTGGGCCTGGTTTTGATGCTCCAATCGAGTCTTATTGCTTGCCGATCATTGGAGCAATCGATTGGAAGTCGAGGGATTTGGAGAAGAGAGGAGGAGGACCAAGGACAGATTCAGACATTTTATATCAAGGCTTGGACAATTTATATTTTATTGCTGGAACTCATGCAATGCCATGCAGCATCGCACGATACAGAAAACACGTCATCAGTGTCTTTATTCTTGTTTCCAGACCCTTGGCACTGCAGAACGATGAAATCAAAGGCAATTACGATGCTGATTCTTGACTTGGCCTTACCCCGTGAAACTGGAGGTTTCAGTTGCGCCAGCAGCGATTGTTGCGCCAGCTCCAACCCCTCTGGCAACGGTGGCAACTGTTGTCATACCAATACCACCCCGACTGGCAGCGCTGGGCAGCAGCCTTTGCGATTCCTCCCACGTCCACGCCCATGGCCAACATCATCACAAACATGGCGAGTGCCAAAAACAACAGGAAGAAAGCCTTGTTCTCCATGCTTTGCTGCTTGTTCTATTAGAGAGAAGTGCTTTGATCTGTGAGGCAGGAGGGGCTCATATTTATAGCTCGAGCCAGCACACAATGCTAGAGAGTTGTCGTGGGACGGCATTGCTTAGTCCTTATCTAATTTGGTTCCGTGTTTGAGAATTTCTTCTCGTTTCTATAATATCTCTCCAACCCTTCAAATGAGGATCACTAAGTTCCACAAAATCGCCTGCTAAAACTTTACAAGTTCATATTACAAGACCCTCGGAAACTTTTGCCCAGAATCGCATGTGTATGGGACGGTTGAGATCATGTGAGATCGACGGCTTCGATTTAATTAATACGACAGCCAAGATTTTATACAGTGTACGGCTCAGATTGTATATAAAGGAACGGTCCAGAAAATTTTAAATGCACGGTCTAGATTGTACAAGAATGACTACTATTCTTCTATTTGTACGAAAATACCATTCGTTTACCGTACACATTATATAAGTACGCTAAGTTGAAGTACTTAGCTTGTCAGACACTTTAATGCCCTAAAAAAGGGGGAAGTAAGCAAGCGCGAGTTTCCTCTGGTAAGCAAGCGAGCTTGAGCCGAAATACTGCGACTTTCTCTGGTAAGCTTGATCTCTGACTATGGCTCGCAAAATCTCCACGCCACCGCCCCGCCGCCTCACCGGGAGCACGCGAGGGACGCCACCGCCTAAACCATCGCCAAAGAGGGCGCCGACAACTCCATCTCCGCCACCAAAGAGGTCTCCAACGGCGCCAGCCAAGAGGCACAGTCATTCACCACCAAAGCCCACAGATGGACATCACTCACCAGCAAAGCCACCACCGAGTTCTCCTGAGCATCATGGAGCTGGACATCCACCACCGAGCTCTCCGCCCACCAAGGAACATCGAGCAGCAGAGCCAAAGAGGCACCATGGACATCGACGAGCTGATGATGGAGCTGCTACAGGGCCGCCACCTTCTTCTTCGCCGCCCAACAAGGCCGACACTGTAACCTGGCGACCAAGGAGGGCCGGGCCATCATCGCCACCACCTTCGAGCATAACGTGGAACCCAAGGCCGCCATCGCCACCACCTTCGACCATAACGTGGCAACCAAGGCCCCTTGGCTTGGACACCTCTCCGCCTACGGCGTCGTCAGCACCATCTTCAGCAGCAGCAGCAGCTGCAGCTGCATTCGTGGCATCACCTGGTGTGCTCGCGGCAGGCATCGTTATGCTCCTGCTCGCACTGGTAGCTATCGTCACTGGAGTCTGGATACTCTTGAAGAGGAGAAGGAACAAGGTGCACGGCGACATCCACCACGACGACATCCTGGTGGAGGATGGCCACCAGCCTAGCGGTGGCAACAGCGGCAGCAGCAGCAACCAGCGGGAGCACCTCATTACCAAAGTGGAGCCTCGACCATCATCGCAGTTGAATGCCGGCAGGAAGAAGGCGGCTGCTGACCCCCTAATTCGCGAGCTCCTGAGGCCACCAAGGCGGCTGCCACCGTCTGCCCTTCCCGCTGGTGCTCGCCACAAGTCTGCATCCGGAAACGATCCACTCTTTCGTGCTGCTGATCCAGTGCATGGCCAGCAGGGAAGCCGGGGAAACGTCATGATGGAGGATCCTCTCGTCGTCTTTCCTGCGTATGAAGTTGACGAGCAGCGAAGGCTGTTCTCAACCACTCCGGAGGATGATCCACTCTTCTCGACTGGTGGCTACTCTCATCATCCAGCAGGCAAGAAAATGGCTGCAAACGAGCTCCCAGTGCGCATATCATCTCGACGCAACGGGGTTCCAGAGCAGTTTCATGGACGGGAACAAGGACGAAAGGTGGCGGATCGTTCTGGCATCGTGTTCGATCCTGGAGATGTCGCAGCACTGGCAAAGAAGCGGGCTGAGATGGAGAAGCAAATGCAGAAGTTCATCATGATGGAGCCCCGCATCCGGCCTTTTTCCCACAGGTTAGTAGTCTCTGCACTTGAGCTGACAATATGGACTGATGAAGCTGAATCGATCAGGAAGCGCGATGTGGAGAACAGCCCCGAGATCACGAGCGACGAGAACCTCGTCCGGAAGTTGACAGCCAATGATCCCAAGCGGGTCAAGAGTGATTTGGAGGTGGAGCCATCTGCTCCGGGGCACGCGTCTCTGACGGGTGAAAACGCCGATCAGTTACGAGCCTTTCTGTGAATTCTTCCACCTCTGAGAGAGACAGGGAATTTGACGAGGTACGTTTTTCCGAAGTCAATTTGTATAGATGCTACTCTTTGATTGCAGGCACTGCGAGAGGCAAAGAGCAACTGAAAAACAAATAGAATGAAGAGCGAAAGCTCGTCAGTTATCTGGCTTTCCGTTCTAGGGGCTTGAGTAAGTCACAGGAAGGTCCTCTTATCTCCTCGCTTTTCATCGGGGTACCAAAGTTTAGAAGGAGGCATCAATCATCGATATACAATTAGCCAGGATGATCACTTTTTTTTTTTGTTGATTTTCATATGAAATCTAAACTATATTATTGCACTAATGGAATTAGACAACGCCAGAAACAACAAACAAATTCCCCATCCTACGGCCTCTTAGTGTTATTAAAATGAGTTACACTTTGAATAAGCATTTTTATTAAGCTCCAATTTTGACAAGATCAGTTCTTGTAAAACGCAAGATTGCCGAAAACGGTGGAATGAGCTTCTAGAGCGTACCCTGATAAGCTCCGGTGCTGCCAATCACCGCAACCTCTCGAACTTTATCAAAGATACTGTGTTGCCCGTGCATGCTCATCGTCCCATCCCTGGACACAGCCACCGTGGAATTGCTGGGATTGGTATCGACCTTGTCGTGGAAGTAGAGCTCCAGCCCTTCGATTTGAGTTGCATGAGTGAAACCAAAAGCCAGAGAGACCGCTAGGAGCAAGAGCAAAGGAAAGCACTCCATGAACTTCTTTTCTTTTGGACAATAGTGAAAGCAAGGAAGAAGGAAGAACTTCGGCCAGGATTCATCGTGAGACAAGCTTCCTTGGAAAGGAATAGTATCGGAAACAACAGACAACTACTTGCCCTCACTGGGCACCAGCAACGTAAGAGCTGCCAAAGATGAGAACTGATTGCATTGTGTGGTGTATTCCTTTAGGAGACTATATCATGCCTTCAAGGAAAATAACGAATTGATTTCTAAGAAAACGTCTCTTGTGCAACCTGAAACTCTCTCCAAAGAGGGTTAAATAATGTGACAAACTTTTCCAGTGCCAAGTGGTTACCCTCCATCCGACGGTGCCGATTGGCCAGATCCGGCGGCCCACAGAGTTCGCCTTAATCCCTAGAACCCTAAACCAGCCGCTAGGGTTGAGTCTCCAGCGAAATGGCGCTCTCGCCGAAGGAAGCCGACATCCAGATGATGCTGGCCTCGGCCGTGCATCTGGGCACCAAGAACTGCGATTTCCAGATGGAGCGCTACGTCTGGAAGCGCCGCTCCGACGGTAAGATCCTAGTCGCTTCTCGCGATCTTAGCTTTGTGGTGCCACAGGCATCTTCATCATCAACGTTGGGAAGACGTGGGAGAAGCTCCAGCTCGCGGCCCGCGTGATTGTGGGCATCGAGAACCCCCACGATATCATCGTGCAGTCGGCCAGGCCTTACGGGCAGCGCGCGGTGCTCAAGTTTGCGCAGTACACTGGCGCGCAGGCCATCGCCGGGAGGCACACCCCTGGAACTTTCACCAATCAGCTCCAGAACTCCTTCTCGGAGCCTCGCCTCCTCATTCTCACGGATCCGCGCACCGATCACCAGGTAAGTTTGCTCGCTCGATCTAGCACGACTTTTTTCCTCATTGGTTTCCTTCTTTTGTTTTGTGTCTGTGTGTTCTTCCAGCCGATTAAGGAGGCCGCGCTTGGAAACATCCCCGTGATCGCCTTCTGCGACACGGACTCGCCCATGAAGTACGTGGACATTGCTATCCCGGCCAACAACAAGGGGAAGCACAGTATTGGGTGCTTGTTTTGGATGCTCGCTCGCATGGTGCTCCAGATGCGAGGCACCATCGCTCCCAGCCAGAAGTGGGATGTCATGGTAAGATCTATTTTCTTCGCTCATCTCTTGTTCTTGCTCGTGGTTTTTTCCCTGTGACCTACACTTGTTCGTGCTCGTGGTTTTTGCTGTAACTTACACACTTGTTTGGCTATTCCTTTCGTAGGTGGACTTGTTTTTCTACCGGGAGCCCGATGAGACCAAGGACCGGGAGGGCGAGGAAGCCGCGATTGTTCCGCAGGAGTACAACGAGTTTTCGACTGCGCCACTGCCTTACTCGACCGCGTCCGTGCCGGAGGCGGCCTGGGACGGTGCTGCTGCAGAGGCTACCTGGGAAGCGACCGCTCCACCCGCAGCTGTTCCTGTTGATCCTGCCACTGCTGCTGCTGTCGCTGCTCCAGAATGGGCTGCAGCAGCTCCTCCCCCTGCTGCCGCACAAGGTTTGCAACTTTCTTTGCTTTTCTTTGGTTTTGTTTCTAGTTCTAAAACTTTGCAAACGCACCAGGTTGGGACGCTGCCGCTGCTCCAGTTCCGGCTGCTGGATGGGAGAGCACTCCGGCCGCGACTGGCTGGTCCGAGACAACACCAATGTACTGAGCCAAGCTTTTAGAAACCAGAGTAACATCAAGTTTTGTATGGAAAGAATGAAAGCCTGGGAGCAATTTACTCTTTCAACTTTGCTTTTTCGTGTTGTGAGGTGAACCAAAAACAGAGAATAAATCTAGAGAGCTTCAAACGCTAAGATTCTATGCTGTTTACATGTCCTCTGGAGCGAATCGCTTGGACCGGGGGCTGAAGAGCTGAGGAAGTCCTGCGCTGGACATGACCCTGGACAAGGAGGGCTTGAGAGACTTGGAATGATCGAGCATCTTGTATCGGTGCTGGAGGCTCTGGGGCAAGGGGAGGAGACTGGAAGAGAGCAGCGTCACGAAGACGAGCAGAGCTTGGATCGCCCCAAGAACAAGCATGCTCTCCCACCATGGCAGCCCCTCGCCAAACATCTTGGAACTTCTTGTTGATGACCGAAAAACGACTACCAGAAATCTGGAACTATCGCCTGGAACTCTTCGAGTGATGAGCTTTTCTGGATTGGAACTCTGAGAGATTTTCTGGATGAAATCTGAAACTCTTTGAAGAACGAAAACACGATCTGGAACTGCGGAGCTCTTCTGGACTAGCGTACATTATATAGATGCGACCTTTGACCCCGAGGCTGTGATCACGAAACAACCAAAGAAACTTCCAAGAGACCACTATCCTAGACTGAGTCGTGCCAACACGGGATAAAGGCGGGTTATTAAACTATAATCAAAATTGCAAACGTTGTCTCCTAAAACTCTCCTCTCTTTCGTCCTTGGTCTCTTAAAATCTGTGTTGGTTATTCCCTCTTTTCTAACGGAAAGAAGTGGTCTCCTAGTAATCCAAATCATGCCCACCCATGCCTCCTCCAGCCGCGGCCTTCTCCTCCTTTGGAAGATCATACACCACAGCCTCTGTTGTTGTCAGCAACGAAGAAACACTGCAATATAAACGAATTTGTGAGCGATCCTTACGTTCGTTTCTTCTCTTCTTACCTGGCGGCGTCACCCAGAGCAGTTCTCAACACCTTCACGGGGTCAATAATCCCGGCCTTTACCATGTCTACGTATTCACCTGGCACAAACCAAGAACGATCATCAGACTCTTTCACAAAGCTAAGTTTTGCCTCGTCGCACCTTTCGCCGCGTCGTAACCCAAGTTGTAGTCATTCTGTTCCCATAGCTTGCCTACAACGACCGCTCCCTCCACTCCGGCATTGGCAGCAATTGTATACGTGGGCATCTATCACAAAGAGAACATTGTAGTGGCCACGCAAAAGCAACTAAAATAGTGTCACCGCGCCATACCTTTAGCGCGCTCTGGATGATTTGGACTCCCACTTTCTGGTCGAAGTTGGGCGTCTCCAGCTTGTCAAGATCGCGAGACGCGTAGAGAAGAGCGACTCCACCACCTTCAAAGACCGTGCGTGTCAGTCGGGAAAACCGTTTACGAGAGCGAATCAATTACCTGGCACGATTCCCTCCTCCACTGCAGCCTTTGTAGCATTCAGCGCATCCGTCACCCGATCCTTCTTTTCACTGACTTCCGCTTCACTACCTCCTCCAATCTACACTCGCGCGCGAAACAATAATAAAAACGCTGCCACAAAAGTCTTTGGCGTACGTACCTTCAAGACGGCTACACCTCCAGAGAGCTTGGCCAGCCTTTCTTGGAGCTTTTCCTTGTCATAGTCTGATGTGCTAGACTTCACAGCTTCTCTGATCTGCAATAACGGCGTCAGGTATCTCTTCCCTCTGAGCTAAGTGCGTTACCTGTTCGCATCTTTCCTCGATTTCCTTCTTATCGCCAAGGCCATCCAGGACAATGCTGTCGTCTTTCGAGATTGTAACCTATCATCTCTTCCATGTCAGAGAGGAGTTGGAAGAACATAAAATCGAAATAGTTGCTAACCTTCTTTGCTGAACCAAGCATGGAACGATCGACCTTCTCAAGCTTGATACCTACATCTTCGCTGACAAGCTAAACAGAAGACATTCAAGGATTCATCACGCCGCAAGCCATAAAAGATCTCTACCTGACCGCCCGTGAGCACGGCAAGATCCTGCAGACACGATTTTCTGTTGTCTCCAAATCCAGGGGCTTTGATGGCGCAGCACTGTATATTTATCGTCAGTGAAATTGTCTTTTGAGAGGATTGCGTACCTTAAAACCACCTCGGAGTTTGTTGACAATCAGAGTTGCCAGAGCCTCGCCGTCAACGTCCTCTGCCACAATGAGAAGTGGTCTTTGTTCCTGCATTTAGCGTAAGCTTTCTCCTTATCACACATCGTAACAGCCTACCTTCACGACAAGCTCCAAAACAGGCATGATGGCACTGACAGTAGAGATCTTCTTGTCGTGAATCAGAATAACTGGATTTTCAAGTTCCTGCACAGAAGCACTTGTTACGCTAGTAATACACAAGCAAACGAGGACATTACGCATTTCTGTGTCTTAGCGTTGTTAATGAAATAGGGGGAAATGTATCCCCTGTCCAATTTCATACCCTCCACAACCTCTAGCTCGTTGTGCAAGGTCTTGCCATCCTGTTGTTTCTCTCATCAGAAGTTTGTCGATAAAAACCATAAATGACCCAGCTTACCGATACTGTGATGACACCATCTTTGCCGACCTTCTCCATGGCTCTAGCAATCAGGTCACCGATTTCCCTGTCACCATTTGCCGAAATGGTACCGACCTGCACGCACCGAAAAGCTAAGGTAAGCACAAACCAAAAGGCTGCTCAGACCTGAGCAATCTCCTCTGATGTGCTGATCATCTTCGCCTTGCTCTTCAGATTTTCCACCACGGATTCCACAGCTGAGCTGATACCACGGCGCAAGTCCATGGCATTCATTCCAGCCGCCACAGACTTACAACCCTCTGCAAAAATTGCGCGAGCAAGCACAGTTGCGCAAGTAGTTCCTACACACCAGATACAGTTAAGAAAAGAGAAAAGAAAGAAACTAGAGGAAGAAGTACCATCTCCTGCCACATCGTTGGTAGCGTTGGCGACTTGTTTCACGAGGCTAGCACCAACGTTCTTCAGCTTGTCCTTGAAGTCGATGCTCTTGGCAACAGTCACACCATCCTTGGTAACCTTGGGAGAACCAAAGCCTTGATCGATCACAACGTTTCGCCCCTACAAAAGGAAAAAAAAGAAGTTTGTTGTTCATTGGAAAAAGGCGATGGATAGAATACCTTGGGACCCATGGTTACTTTGACGGCATCAGCGAGCTGCTCCACGCCCTGGAGCATAAGAGCCCTAGCCTCCACTCCAAACTTGATTTCCTTGGCGGAGTATCTCCTCACCCATTGCGCCTTGCTCACCTCCTGCAATGCCTCCACAATCAGCGCCACAAAACCCCACTGCGCCAAAACTTTTTACCTGAAGTCGGCCATGCCTCCTGAAATCCTCGAACAAAAGGCAAGAGCGTCAGCGCCGCTAAGAACAGCAATCCACGACACGATCATTTACCTCAGGCTCGAAGCGACTGCGCGGAACATCCTTGGCAGGCGAGGAGCGACCGAGACAACAACGACGAAGAACCCTAGCTCAAAATCTCTAAAACCCTACGGCGAAACTTCTAGATCCTAAAACCCTAGCCGGTGTCCTTGATAAAGCCCCACTGTAAATAACCCCGCGTCCTTAAATTTCAAAACAAGACATTTGCGCTATAACTTTGCTTTCCAGCACGCTAATCCGGCCATCCATGTTTCTATCATGGCGCGAGAGCACACTGGTTGATCCGCTGGAACCTGCGAATTGGACCACATTTTCTGTGAGAAAAAAATCCTCTTTTTCTTGCGAAGATCGCAAAGATCAAGTAAAGTTCTTGCCACTCCTACCTCATGTCCGGCTCCAGCGATGACAACGTGTGTGAGATTCCGGCCTTGCCTCCAGTAGCCCGCTTTGTCTCCCATGACTTTCCAGATCTCTCTGGGCGATTTCCAAAACCTGTCTACGTATTCCCAGTTGAGGGAGCGCATCCAAGCTTCCGAGGATGCGGCACCGTCCTTGGCATCGTAAACTCCCTGGTAGAGCAGCACTGGCAGCCCCTTCTTTAGGACCGTCTCCAGCATCCACTTCGTGCTCTTCATGGTGTCCTGCAATGCCATTCCATGTTTTGTCTCTGTTTTTTTCTTGGAGAACTTACCTCTGCCATGAGAAGTTTCACCGATTTACGGCAGCACGCGAAGTTTAGAGCGGTCGGATCCACTTTGAGGCTCGTTCTTACGTGCGGTAGATTCAGAAACTCTGCCAGATAGTCGGTTCCATCCTGCGTCCAAGTTTTATAATCTCGAAACTGTGACAGGAAATCCTGTGATTTTTTACCTCTCGGCGATGGTATCTCGAGGAGCGTCTTACATCCAAAAGCGTGGGAATGCCGCTCGTTGTTTCAATCCACTTGCAAAGGTAAGTTCTCTGCTCGTGTGCAGCTAACCAATCTTCCCTGAATATAAAAGTTCAGCTCAGAGGGGATGGAAAAGAAAAATTCTTTCAACCTATCAATAAGCTCGACGACTTCTCGAGCGAGCTCTTGAACGTATTGGCTTTGCTGCTTGTCTAAAAGCCCAAAACAAAAGGCAACTTCGGCGTGCATTTGCACCTGCAAGGCCGAAAGCCGAAAAGAGTGAGAGGAAGAAAACGTTTCAAAGCATATTAGCTTTTTCATACCTGTGTTCTTGGATGTATCAACCCGTTTCCAATGGCAACTCCAGAGAGCTGAGAGCTCAGACCATTCCCGTTCTTCCTGGTCAGAATATGGTGAGCGAGAGCCGGCAAGTACTTCCCCGCGTAGCTCTCTCCAGCAAGAACCAATGGACGCTTTGTAAAGCTCTTTTGCTCCATGAAAGTCGACAGCGCGTTGTGCAAATGAAGAGCTACCGTTTCCTGGCACCTTGGAACCTCGAGCTCCGACGCTGCAATACTGAAGCCAGTCCCAATTGGATTGTCTACAAACAAAATCCCACACCTGGAAGACAAAATATGTTCAAAACGAAACTTTCAGTCACTTCGAAAACAAAAATCTACGATACCTTCGGTTCCACGCTCCTGGATTTTTTTGCAAGCTGAAGTTCTCTTGGACAATCCATGGGCCGAGCTCGTAGAAGCAACCGATTAAGCTGGAGCAACCGGGTCCGCCGTTGAGCCACACCATAATCGGTGAGATTTCCAGCTCGGTGTCTGGCTTGCTCGCTTCGTAGTAAACGTAAAAGAGGCGAGACTCGCTCGACTCGTCGATGGGGAGATAGCCGGAGTCGGTTGGCAAAGCCTCGTCGGGGAATTCATACTCGGCAGCGTGGATTTCAATCTCCGGAAGCTTGGTTATGGAAGTCTGGACCTGAAAAACCACAAAGAAAAGTTGGCAAATGCAGGTGAGAAATTTCTATCTTATGATTTCTTCTCTCTGTTTTTTTTTTTTTCATGAGCTAAACCTGGTCGCAGGCCATAATACTTCGATCACAAGCAACTTCCATCAACACCCAGCTTTTGCTTGGAGGAAGAAGAAAAGAAAAAAGGAGAAGAAATTCACTAACGAAGGATAAAGCAAACCAGGAACTAAAGGAACGATCCCAATGAGAGAGGAGATTCTCAAATAAGGCAAAGATAGAAGAAATCAGCGGCCATACGTACGATCCTGCGAGCTTTGGTTCGAACAGTGGTTCGAAAGCAAGAAGAGGGACCCCGATTCGGCGTTGGCAGCCTGATCTCTCGAAACGGGACGTTGAATCTGGGACTGCTCGCAGCGCTGCTGCCGCTGGCGAGCTGCATTGCGACGCGATCTCCCGCGCCGGGGGCAAGCGACGTGTGCCCCGTCGATCGAAGCCCCGGAAGAACCCTAAATTCTTTATTTGAAATCGAATCTTTACTGGTTCTTTGCTTAAGTAAATGATTTCTTCCATGAAGGAAACATCCTTCATCCCTGCTGATGATAATCAAGCCACAAAGTAGTTTATAATGTTTGACCTGTGGATTTTTCCACTCTATTTCTGCATTACATGGCTCTTTGTGTAAGAGTCCTCTCTAGGTTAAGAGATAGGGTTAGGCTCATTAGATGAGAATAATTCCTGCAAGGTATTTGACATTCAGCCTTATCTATTTAAATTTCTACCAGCTTATAAATATGGTTTGTATTCAAACTAAAAATCACAGAATAGACACTACTTAAATGAATGCTGGAATGGCTTTTAAGTATATTATTATCTAAACATAAAAGTATGATCTTTAACAGTAGCTTAATAATAAAACTACAATAAAATTTTAAAGGTTTTGGGAAAACTTTTAGGCAGCAAATGAGAATGAAACGACAGTAAAAATTGGTAAAGCTAAGAAAATTATTAAATACCACGAATAGAGATTACTTCCTGCAAATCTAAGATTAAGGAAACTTTAGGAAGTTATATGATAATAATATAACCCAAAAGCTCGAAATAATGGCGATAGAGAGGAGGATAGTCTGCAAATATTTATAACTTTAACAAGATTTAATATCAGAATATAATTATTAATTAATTAATTTTAAACGGGTAATACCTCCCATTGGATGGCTGAAGCATAGACCACTTTCTGGTCCCATCACGGATCACTACTGCTGCATGATCAACCTGTTTGGGTGCTGGATTGCCCAAAAGATTGTCAACAGCCTCCCAGTGAGCAGAGACGATGTAGCATTTACCACTATTCTTGCAGCGTAATATACTCCTAATATTATGCTCCAGAGTTCTTTACTGACTTGGTTCTATCAAACTTTGACTTTGAGCTAGAAGAGGGACTTCGGAGATACAGATACATTTTTGGCTCGTTCAATTTTGACATGATCAGTTAACACTAAATAGAAAGATTGCCGAAAATGCCTGCAATTATTGCAATCTTCATTGAAGATTGAAGAGATATGCAAAAGCTACAATAGGCAAGGATGACTCAAGGATAGCTAGAATACAAGAGACAGTGAGGTGGCACTACTGCCACCTAGGATCATGTCATAGAGAGCTCAAAAAAGATGCTGTTGCCTGCGCATGCTCATCGTCCCATCCTTGAACACAGCCACGAATGTCAAGAACAAACCGGTTGTGATGTTGGTGTTGGCGGAATGTACATCCCTTTGGCTCTTCCTACAATCTGGGAGTCACGCGAGGGAGAACATCATCGATGACAAACACCGCATCAAAATGGCCATTCCGCGACCAAAACCACCGTGAAATTTGATTTCAATTGCATGAGAAAACCACCGTACGAATTCTGGTGTTGTCTAATATCTATTAGTGCAATAATATTATCACCGACTCAAGCATCGATAGTTTAGATTTCATAAAAACAGAATAAAAATTAACAAAATCAATTTGTGATCATCCTGGCTATTGTATATCGATGATTGATGGCTCCTCCTAAACTTTTGTACCCCGATGAAAGGCCAGGAAGACCTTCCTGTGACTTACTCAAGCACATAGAAGGGACTGAAGAGAAAGCCAGATAAATGACGAGCTTTCGCTCTTCATTCTATTTGTTTTTCACTTGTTCTTATGTTTTGTCTCTTGCAGTGCCTGCAATCAAAGAGTAGCATCTATACAGATTGCCTTTGAAGAAACGTACCTCGTCAAGTTCCCTGTCTCTCTCAGAGGTGGAAGAATTCACCAGGATACAGAAAGGCTCGTACCTGGTCGGCGTTTTCACCTGTCAGAGAAGCGTGCCCCGGAGCAGATGGCTCCACCTCCAAATCACTCTTGACCCGCTTGGGATCATTGGCTGTCAACTTCCGGACGAGGTTCTCGTCGCTCGTGATCTCGGGGCTGTTCTCCACATCACGCTTCCTGATTGATTCAGCTTCATCAGTTCATATTGTCAGCTCAAGTGCAGAGACTACTAACCTGTGGGAAAAAGGCCGGATGCGGGGCTCCATCATGATGAACTTCTGCATTTGTTTCTCTATCTCAGCCCGCTTCTTTGCCAGTGCTGCGACATCTCCAGGATCGAACACGGTGCCAGAACGATCCGCCACCTTTCGTCCTTGTTCCCGTCCATGAAACTGCTCTGGAACCCGGTCGCGTCGAGATGATAGGCGCACTGGGAGCTCGTTTGCAGCCATTTTCTCGCCTGCTGGATGATGAGAGTAGCCACCAGACGAGAAGAGTGGATCATCCTCCGGAGTGGCTGAGAACAGCCTTCGCTGCTCGTCAACTTCATACGCAGGAAAGAGGACGAGAGGATCCTCCATCATGACGTTTCCCCGGCTTCCTTGCTGGCCATGCACTGGATCAGCAGCACGAAAGAGTGGATCGTTTCCGGATGCAGACTTGTGGCGAGCATCAGCGGGAAGAGCAGACGGTGGCAGCCGCCTTGGTGGTCTCAGGAGCTCGCGAATTAGGGGGTCAGCAGCCGCCTTATTCCTGCCGGCATTCAACTGCGATGATGGTCGAGGCTCCACTTTGGTAATGAGGTGCTCCCGCTGGTTGCTGCTGCTGCCGCTGTTGCCACCGCTAGGCTGATGGCCATCCTCCACCAGGATGTCGTCGTGGTGGATGTCGCCGTGCACCTTGTTCCTTCTCCTCTTCAAGAGTATCCAGACTCCAGTGACGATAGCTACCA